TACGCTTGCAGTAGACTACAATTTTGGAGCTGCGTTAGACCACATGCTGCGGGACCGTTTTGTTTGCGGAATGAAGAAAGATAGTCTTCAGAAAAGCTAGCTGGCGGAGACCGACCTCACATTGTTGGAGATTGCGGTAATCAGCGAGGCTGCAGCAGCGAGGCTGCAGCAGCGAGCGCTATGGTTATGGAGAATCGGAGCGATTCCAGCCGCGACGCTAAACCATGCAGCGATGTCCATGGTATCCAAACTGGTCGACCGAAAGCTCGTCAAGGTACCCCAGGAGCCCAACTAAACAGATTAAAAAAAATAATATAATAATAAATCCTACGATATCTTTGAATGAAAAATATGGGTGGAATGGAATTTTATCAATATTTGAATTTAATCCAATAGGGTTATTAGACCCTGTTTGATGTAAAAATAATAAATGAATTATTGTTATTGCTAATACAATAAATGGTAGAATAAAGTGAAATGTAAAAAATCGTGTTAAGGTTGCATTATCTACTGCGTCTCCATCGCGACACTGTATGCCATGTTTGCAGTCCAACGGGCCACATACGGCGTGTCTGCTGAAGCACACGCAGGTCATCGTCGAAGTTATTGGGAACAGTGTCCCCAACTCCAAGTTCCCATTGAACACGTGCACGGACATCACGTCAAGCATATAGCCAAAAGTCTGGCGTTCATCAAATACTACCTTTGGTCAGCCAAAAGAAATCTGCATCTGTCATCATTAAGGGTAGAACTTGTCTATTTGAGGTGGATTCAGGAGCGCCAGTGACCATTATTAAAGACGCTACATACAGGTACATCTGGCCTCGAGGGTGCCCCAACCTCGTCAAATGTGATGTTGATCTCAGTGACTACCAGCGCAACTCGATACCGGTAAAAGGGGTCGTTGACACGTCGATCCATTATGATTGCAAAAAAAATAGATAATTTGCCACTAATTGTTGTATCCGGTGGCGTCTCAAACCTACTGGGATGCAATTGGTTCGAGCCACTTGGCATCCGAATCGAGGGAATTCATACTGTGGGTAGTGGGATCAGCATCCAATCGATATTGGGTTCGAACATATATTTTCGCCTGACCTTGGTCGTTACACCGGGCCTTCAGTAACCCTACAAATTGATGCAAGCGTACCGCCACTAAAAATGACATCACGACGCATTCCATTTGCAATCAAAAGTTTGTACGAAGAGGAACTTAATTGCCTTTGTTGCCAAGAGATCCTGGTGCCTGTGGAATATTTGGAATTGGCTACGCTTACGGTTTCCGTCATAAAAAAGGATGGGTCTATTCGAATTTGCGGGGACTACAAATCCACGCTTAATCGAGCTATAAAACCCCATTGCCATGAAATTCCTGCAATTAACGCGCTGTTGGCGTCGATCGAGGGTGGTACAATTTTGGCCAAGATTGATCTAGCGCAGGCATATCAACAATTGGTCGTCGATGGCCAGACCAAACCATATCCACCCACAAGGGTGGACATTTGACATATCATCAGCACCAGGAATATTTCAAAGCTGCATAGAAAACATACTACAAAATATTCCTGGAGTATTGCCTTATTTCGATGATATTGTCGTCATGGAGAAATCGGAAGAGGAATTTTAGCAAGTTTCGACAGGCCAGCCCTACGTCTTCGTAAGGACAAATGCCAATTTGGAGTACCATCAGTCGAGTTTTTGGGGTTTTAAAATCGACGCTTTCGGTATAAGACCATCAGCTTAGAAAGTAAAAGCAATCCACAAAGCTCCCGCACCAAAAGATAATAAACAGTTACAGGCGTTCTTAATTTGACCACGCATTTTTGCCTCATAAGGCTACCGTCGCTGAGCCGTTGTATCTTTTGGTGGATAAGACTGTGCCATGGCAGTGGAAATGACAACACGAAGAAGCTTTTACTACACCTAAACAGTTGGTAGCGTCTGATGATGTGTTAATACACTAGGATGGCGCCCTGTCATTATTATTGACATATGGTGCATCGCCCTATGGAATCGGAGGTGTTATAAGCCACCGCATGTCAGGCGGAACAGAGAAACCGATTGAATTTTATTCAAGAACACTCTCAAAGGCGGAGAGGAATTATGCACAAATAGATAGAGAAGCGGTCGCACTTATCGCACGAGTCAAAAAATTTCATAACTACGTCTACGGCACTCCATTTACATTAATTGCGGATCACCGTCCGCTACTAGGGATTTTCACAACTGCGAAATGTGTTCCAAATGTCATTTCGAATCAGATGCTGCATCGAGCAATTTTCCTTCACGCCTATGATTTTACCTTTATACATCACCCTGGAACCAGAATAGGACTGAATTGGGTGTTAAGGGGATGGCCGAATACCAAAGTTCCGAGATCCGAAAAAATTGTACCCTTTTAGTTGTAGCACTCACCAAAACGAGCTAACAGCGAATAGAGGAGTCCTAGTCTGGGGACACCGTGTGGTGGTACCGTCGTCGTGTAGAAAAGCCATCTTAAACGCCTTGCATGCCCCTCATCCAAGGATCGTTAAAATGTAGCTACGTATGGTGTCCACTGCCGAAACAGGATTCTGTTGAAGACCCAAGTTCTTCAACGGGGGGAGAATGTTTGGTTATGCAGTCGCCACAGCCAAAAGTCAACAATTCATCATAAATACATTTGCTTAATTCGATTATAAAATCACTCAATTTGTAATCTTGCTCTGGCAGCAAGTTGAGCCATTTAACGTAATGTAACTCAATGTTTGCTTTGTCGCTCAAATTCCTATTTTTCTTTACGCATTGTTCTTAAATTACTATAATTTTGCCTAAGGCGCTGCACTGCTGCAGCGTCCGAATCACTTGCTTGTTTGTTAACGAATAGTTAAGTCGCATCGTTCGTTTTCGCTTGTGTCGGTACGGTAAGCCCTAGTTTCCGTCTACTCGATCAATTTCTATATTAATATTGCACTTCGGCAATAGTTACTAAATTGAATTGCATTTCGGCAATATACATAATATACATTGTACATAATAGTTTTCTTTTCGTCGCTTAATATTGAACTTGTAATATGGTTTTCAATCGCAACCAAACCGTGTGGTGGTACCGTCGTCGTGTAGAAAAGCCATCTGAAACGCCTTGCATGCCCCTCATCCAGGGATCGTTAAAATTAAGGCCTTAGCACGTAGCCTTAGCACGTACGTGTGGTGGCCTAACATCCTTGCCGAAATTGAGTGGTTGGTTAAATGCTGCATATCGTGCCAGCAAAACAGGAACGAACCAACTCAAACAGCTACGCATCACTGGGAATCCGCCAAGCGCCCATGGTCCCGCCTCCACATCGACTTTGCTAGGCCATTCTGAGGCAACACCTTTTCCTTGGTGGTCGATTCATTTACTAAATGGCTTGAGGTTACTGTGGTTAAGTCTACATCTACTGCTGCTGCAATTAAGTTCCTTTACCAACTTTTTGCAACTCAAGGACTGCCAAACGAAAAAGTTTCGGACAATGGCATGGCATTCACTTCTGAAGAATTTTTAAGTTTTCATGGATAACCACATAATCCGGCACTTTAGATCAGCACCGTTTCATCCTGCGACCAGCGGTCAAGCTGAGCGCCTGGCCCAGAGTACAAAGAAGAAATGCGACCGTGACACGAACATTGACCTTGCATTGGCCCAATATTTGCTTAACCAGCATACGACCCCACATTGGATTACTGGATTGGTTACCGAACAAACTGGGCCCATTTCATATAACGTCCGCCTAAATGATGCACGAGTCGTTCGCCGGCATCAAGACCAGCTACGCAGCCGAGAGTTGTTAGGATCAGTTCATGATTCTGGCTATTGTGAATCAAACCCAGCAGATTCACCGGCATTGCCACCTACACCGCGCCGGTCCCGACGTAATAGACAGCCCCCGCAGTACTACGACGCATCTGGCTGTTATAGGGTGTTATGTATGTCAATCGGAGGGCAACACTGTTTGGGTCTTCCACTCCTTTTAGTCAGTCAGTTCGCATCGGTCAGCGCATGCACATCGCACGTCACGGCGATCGCTGTACAAAACAGAACGGAACAACATAATACACACACACACACACGCATTGTTACACACAACTATCTCTCCACCAACATTGTATACTTATATTAATAAATAGTATTAAATCAGCTAGCGCATATTTAAAAGGTTACATATGTCTATTTGTATCTCTTACATCCGCGCTTCATCTGGAATTCCTCACAGATCTACGCCACTTCATATCGCTGGAAGGAAAATTTGTCCAAATCTATAGCGACAACGGAAGGAACTTTGCTGGCGCAAAAAACACACTGGATGCAATTGTATTGCAAAATCTTATTTTCTTCTTTTAAACTCCCTATGTTACACAAATTATCTTGAGCGTTGCATGCTTCAACTTAAACATTACCCTAATTACTGGCATCTGAAGAGCACAAAAATAAGGTCTCGTGCAGATTGGCAGACGAAGGGATCATATGGAATTTCATTCCGCCACATGGACCACACTGGGGTGGTAAATGGGAACCTGCAGTACGCTCAGTAAAACGCCTCCACGTCCACGTCAATGCAGTGGTCAATTTACGCCCACTGTGTTACAGCTGAATCATGTCCCAGAAAATCACTTAAATTACTGGCAAAGCATACAAGCCATGTACCAGGGGTTTTGAAAACGCTGACATCGAGAATACTTGTCTACGCTACAAATGCGTCCAAAGTGAACCACAAAATTAATGAACATATAGGCGGCGTATCTCGTGCTTGTTAAGGACTCTTACACAGCAACATCCTCGAACTGAAGAAGTGAGAATAATTATAAATGCCAATTTAAAGGCATTAGTAGCATTATTGTTATTAATAATAATTATAATATTAAAATTATATATATATATATATATAATATTACGTTCAATAGCGTTAAACAGGTATACCTTTCTTTGATTTCTGTAGCCGAGTATAACTCATACCTAATGCTCTTTTAAACATCATATCGAATTAAAATCATTATTATTTATTACAATTGCCATGTCAATTACATTATTTGGAAATTTTACACAGACCTACCAATTGTGTTTTTGTGATTCACAAAATGTTTTACTGTTAGCTGTGTAGAACTGCCCATACCAAATCCGAAATCTTTTTAAAGATGTGTCCTCTTTTACAAGTAATGGGTTGCTTCGAAAAGTTTTATGGTTCCATATATTAATATCTCTTTCAAACTGAAAAATAATTTTTTAAACATATTTTAAGTATTACAAAATAACTTTTACCATTATACTTTCTCCAAAAATAAAAATTTTCATTATTGGAGCTAGCCATCTTGGTCCATAGAATCTATGCACAACCTTCTGCAGTAATGGCTCGACAGGCGTAATCGTTTGTAAAATTTGAAAGGAGCCCAATGTTGGAGAACACATATTAAGTTGAACGTAAGATGGACCAATCTGAAAAGGATTTTTTGAAGATATACATGTATTAAACAAGTAGAGAAGCTAAAGCTGGGTGCCCCGACTTTGAAATACTCTGGACATATGTGTAGAATATTTGAAGAATTTAAAAAAAAAAATTGAAGAAATGTAGCAAAATTGATATGTATATTACAAAATTTTTAAAAATATATTATGTATACCTCTTTTGTTATTCGAACTCACGTAAAGGGTGTATAACTGCACATTTAAATAAAAATTGCATCTATGTGTGTCTGAATGTGTCTCGTGTGCCTGTGCAAAGCAACAACAACACCTGCGGGTAGAGCTCGGGCAGTGATTACGTATATGGCTATAACTCCCTTTTAAATTAACCCATCAGGATGATGTTGTTCTTGTTGTGAATGGTTGCTCACAGCTCTGCACTTAACACATTTATTTAAGTATTTTATTTTATGTCGGCAAGGAGGAACGATTTTTATTGAGAGCAGATGGAAATTATTATAAAATAAGCATAAAGCCTTGAAAGGATTATGCAATGCAATATTAATGGATCAGTATGAGAAGACGAGTAAATATAGCCATGTCCGTCTGTCTGCCTGTCCGTCTGTCTGTCAGTCTGTATGAACGCAAGGATCTCAGAAAGTACAAGAGCTAGAATAACCAAACTTGGTACTCAGGTTCTCCTGAACCCTAAGCAGATCAAGTTTGTTTATTTTTTCTGATATAAAAAAATCGCTGCCCATGCTCTGCAGCTTGGGTCAAATAGAAAATTACATTTTTCGAACATAACATTTTGCTGAGGTAAGTCTTATTTTGGGAGTCAAACGAAAGTTAATAATAAAATATATACTTCACGCAATTTTTGTTTAAAATAAGTACCAAATAACTATGCATTAATTAAACTGCTTGTTAGCGAAAATGTGAATGGTAACAAACTGTCATTTAAAAACACAAAACTTTTTTGCGAACATCGTAAGCGTTGGACGTATTTTTATACCGCTCCGCCGTGTGTTTAAAGATATAGTGCAATTAACGCCAAATTCTTCAAATTAATTCGCGAAAAGACACTCAGGGTATGCATGGGCACCTCGTGCGATCCATGTAAATTTATCATATATTGTGATTCAAATTAAGAAAAACTAATTAAATCTTGTGAAAAAATAAAGTACAAGTAATGCCAACGAGTAAGAGCACAAGCTGTGCAAGCAATAAAGAAAAAACAAGTAGGGAAACTAAACTCGGATGTCCCGACTTTGAAATACTCTGTATGTACATATGCTTAGAATAATTATAAAAATTAAAAAAATTAAGAAAATTAGAAAAAAATATACTACCCTTTGTATTCGAAGTCACGTCAACGGTGTATAATTAGACATTTACATAGGAATTGCGTCTATGCATGCACTCATGCATGCAAGCATATGCGTGTCTATTCGTGTCTGTGTGACCAAGAATGCAGCATAATAAAATAAATAAATAAATAATAATAATAAAATAAATACAAAAATTAAACAAACTTGCACAATGTACACACATAAGGCGTCTTTGTGCAAAATTATGTATCTGTATGTTACATTTTACACTTTACACTTCCCGCAAACCTAATATGTACCTATTAGGTACAACAGAGGATAATATGAATACAGAATGGTGAGTATTGTGATTGAAAAAAATCAAATTACAGATATGAGGCCCTAATTGCTTGAAATATAAAACTGAAAAATCTATCATTGTCAAATTCGAGTATGTGCGAGTATTTTTCATAGCTATGATTGATGGTATAGTTTTAGACGTTCTTCTGTCAAACTCAATTTGTTTCTTTTATACATATTTTTTCGTTCAGAAGATATGGTTTTTGCAATGAAAAAAGTCAGAAGACCCCACAGCTGAAAGCACTGGGCCAACTGAGGCAATCAAAAACAATAGATTCGCGATTCCCAGTTTACTTACATGAAGAAGATAACGCTGAAACATCTAAGGCCAAGCAACTAAAGTCACCACCTATTTATGTGCGCCAGGCAAATTGTACATAATTAGTTAAAAAGTCACTACTAAAATTGGGGAAAACAAATTCTATGTTACGTCTAAAAAAGTCAATGCAGAAATAATGTATCGCCAGGTATCGCAACAGGGGCCAGAAATTACTGCCCAACATACCACTGCAAATCCATCCCAATTGCCTAGTGGAATCGAATCGGTTCTGGCTACTCTAACAAATATAAAGGTAGCAATACAACAAACGATGCAGGAAACTATGCGCAATCAAAGTCTCCTCCTGCAATTACTAATCAAACAAAAATCTACTTAAATGGTTTCTCTAAAAATATGTTTCTGGAATGCGAATGGCTTTTCACAGCACAAATGCGAGCTCTTGCAGTTCTATGACATTGACGCCATGCTCATATCAGAGGCTCACCTAACAAAATAAAATTATGTTTATCTCAATGGGAACAACTTCAATGCAACAAATCATCCCGATGGTAAGGCTTATGGAGGTAATGGCATTTTGATAAAGCGTGCATCAGGTACTATCCGATGCCATCATTTTCTACAACCTATCTATAGGCCACAACAATTCATATCGAAACAGAAAGCGGCTACTTAAGCCTAGCCGCAGTATACTGCCCACCGCGCTTTTCCGTTTCCGAAACAGAATTTGTAAATTTCTTCGACCTACTAGGTGACCGCTTTATAGCAGTTGGTGACTACAAACACACATTGGGGATCCCGACTCATCAACCCGAAAGGAAAACAACTGACACCGCGAAACAAGTTTGACTTTATTTCTCCGGGCCGGCCTACATATTGGCCCGCAGATCCAAAGAAGCAACCAGCTTTGATTGATTTTGCTGTTGCAAGAATAGTGCCACAGGCTCAGTTTTGTGTGGAGCACATAACAGATCTATCGTCGGATTATTCACCAATCTTTCTTTACCTTTCTAACTACACACAGTACTCGGTGCGCCCACACTTTTTAACTTCTAGAAAAACAGACAGAAATACAGGAAGTACGTAAGTTCCTATATTGAAGGCTGCCTAAACATTAACTGTAAAGATGACATAGATACCTCAGTTGAAGCTTTAGTGTCTGTAATGTCACTGGTAACAAAACATTCCACTCCAGAAATCACAGCTTATAAACCTTACAAAAGCAGTCGTGTTCCCAGGTATATTGAAGAGCTGCTACGAAATAAGAGAAGGCTTCGGCGGGAGTGCAAGTGCACAGATCACCTGACTCGAAGGAGCGATTAAAACTTGCCAACCACTTACTAGATGAGAAACACCGAGCTCAAATCTAGGAACTCTCCCCAAACAGCAATGGGAATATTGTGGAAAACTAAATCAGGCGTATGTTTACCAATCGAGAGTGAATCACCGTTACGTACACAAACATCGAAGATAATGTATTTGCCGCCCATTTAGAAAAAGTCTTCAAACCACATCCAACAACAACTAGTTTTGTGCTCCCTCTAACCAATCAACTTCAAGCAGTCTCAACGCAAAAAAAGCTCCAAGCCACGATTTTATTTCCCCTAAAATGATCATTGAATTGCCCAACTGTGCAGTATATTTTCTCACCATAATATTCAACAGCATGATGAAATGGGGCTATTATCCTAAACAGTGGAGAAAATCTGTTATTACAATGATTCGTAAAGCCGGAAAGGACAAGTCTCATCCATCATCATATGACCTATCAGTCTCCTGCCGTGCATATCAAAGATATTCGAAAAACTGCTCCTGAACCGCATCAAGCAGCACCTACACACCAACAGTACAATCCCAATACACCAATTTCGTATTCGCGAAAAACATGGAACCATTGAACAATTCACAAAATCAAAATATTACTTCCACAAAACATCCATAAAATACTGGAAGCATACCTACAACAAAGAAGTTTCGCAGTTAGATGCAAAGATTTCCTATCTGAATACCATCCAATTGAAGCTAGTGTACCCCAAATGAGCGTGCTTGGACCGACACAGTATATATATATATGTATATATATATATATATATATATATTGTTGTATGACTGTTTGTCGGTATATCTGCTGTATATATATATATATATATATATATATATATATATATATATATATATATATATATATATATATATATCGAAATTGTTGTATGACTGTTTGTCGGTATATCTGCTGTATATATATATATATATATATATATATATATATATATATATATATATATATATATATATATATATATATATATATATATATATACAGCAGATATACCGACAAACAGTCATACAACAATTTCGATATTTGCTGATGATACTGCCACCCTAAGTCGCTCGAAATGCCCAATAAGAGCAAGAACTTTTATCATCTCACCTCGTGGCATTGGAAAAATGGTTAGCAGACTGACTCATACATGTAAAAAAGCAGAACAGTGTTTCCAACTTTTTAAAAGGAAAAAAAGCTGTTTTTGACGGGAAGGAGAGTGAAATAAAGCTAAACATTTTTTTTATTAAGAAGCTACATTTATTTTTACAAGAAAAAAACCTTAATAAAAAAACCTTGGAAAATACATTTTTCTATAATATTGGTGAACATTTTAAATGATATTTACGCATTTCGTCATGTGTTCTTCTGTGTTCTGTCACAGGCGAGTGTCATTTTATACATACATAATTAGTACATAAGTCACTTTTTGTATAAAAAAAGCTAAAAAAAAAAACCATAATCATTAACCACATATATGCAAATATAGCTGCCTCGTTTGCACTTTTTTTTTACATATTTGTTGGTTAAATTACAAAAAGCTGAAAGAAAGGTAAAAAAGCAATTTGGAATATTTTCCCGCAATCTCATTTCAAAAACAACCAGATTTGACGGGAAAACAGCCAAATTAACAACACTGGAGCAGAAGTACAAAACAGACAAACCCTCCATTGTCTCTGAACAACATCAACATTCCACAAAAAAACGAGGTAACATACCTTGGTGTCCATTTAGATAGAAGGCTTACTTGGCGTAAGCACATCGA